TGCCAATCATATCGACAGATGTAATAGATGTTATGATCAAAAGTTGAGAAAGATAAGGATTGGATGAGTAAACGATTACTTAATTTACATATTTTTGGAACATATCTCATGCATTCTTACATGCCAAGGATTTTTTTTGTGTAAATGTTGGGTATTATTGCAACTAAGAGAAGATACAACCATGCATGTCGAAGATAACAATTTGCATTTAATGTGTACATAGAGAGGAAATCGAAGAGACACACATTCCCTACCTTGCTTGATAACCAAGTCAGATCTTTATTTATGAGAGAGAGCGAGAGCGAGAGAGAGAGAGAGAGATGTGGTAAATTCATCATCTGCAGCATCTTCTTCTTGTCAGAAGGAAAGAAGTGATAAGCTTCAAAATCATGATGCAAGTACACAGAAAGAGGTGTTCATAGATTGAGGACAGCTGAAGGAATGGTTTGTTTCTTCAAGGACTTTGAAGCCTCTCACAGAATGGGATTGGGTATTGCTGCAGGATTCCAGATTAGAAAGTAGCAACAACCTGGGGAACGCCTGTGAGACAAAGCTTGATAGGCTTCAACCGTGTGGTTCTTATATGGTGATGATTGCAAGCTATTGAAGAACACATCAACCAACCCAGCTTCTCTGTCATGCATGAATCAAACTATAATTAGTGGGATTGATTAGACATGTTCCGAAATCAGTGTTGCTCTGGTGAAGAAACAAATCTATTGGCAAGACATTTTGCATATAAAACAGAGGTTTACTAGGAGCAAATCCATACAAAAGAATGGGTAGATAATTACCTGGAGCCAAAACACGAATATGATTGCAGTAATTGTTGATCTCCTGTAGAAAAGAAGACATCCAATTGCAATGAGGTGGGGCAGATGATGAGGGGAGATGACTGGTTCTCCATAGATCACATTTGTGTTTCAGAAAAGATAATTCAGTCTAACTGGAATTTAATATTTGAAAATGAAAAGCTTGCCTGCTATGACTAGAATTATTTTCCAAGACTGATTCAAATGAGATGCAGTGGATTGTACACAATGCAGTCGATGAGCTCTCCACATCCAGTTCTTCTCTCATTTCTTCACACTACCAAACCAAAGCATTTTAACTTGCAATTAGCTTTTTAACTTACATAAGATCATCTGGAATTAGCTACATTTTAATACAACAGAAGAAAATAAAAGTAAAAGAAGCAGATATCAGTATACAAAGCTAGGAAATTGCTCACAGTCAAAATTCTACATACGCTGCAACAGACTAAGCTGTGTTCTGTCACTACCATGCTTTCCTCTGCAGAAACTGTTTGCCTCACTGCCTTAGCTGCTCCTACTCCTGCAAGTCTACGTTGTCATACTAAAAATTGGGAAACACATCAGCAGTTTTACATAATTGTAAAACCATAGATTCAAACACTAGTAAGAACAATTATATACAAAAGAAAAAAACTTAAAACTACTTATGTGTGCAAGACCTTCTAAATGACCTCTCAGCTAACAGTAACAGGCTGATGAATAGTGCATCACCTCTATTGCTTGAGTCTCCAGTGTGATCCTCTTCTTTGACTCATTCATAACCAAGAAGAAATGAAAGAGCAGATATCATAATCCTGAGCATAAAGGTTCCAAACTGGTCAACATAACAAAAGGCGAAAAAAAAGTTTGGTACACAAAGCTCCTGCCGTTGTGGAGCATAGAAAGTTCAAAGACTATGTTCAAGTTCATATCCATGTGGCAAATATACATGAGAAAGTACCTACCTTCTCCTTATCATTCCATTCAAGTTCCATATGAACAAATTATTCAAGCCCAAACCAACATGACATTACTTACAATAATATTTTACATAATCGAGCAAAAGCTTGGGCGAGAGGCATACCACCCATCATGGATGGTATGTGGGTGTGGTGGATAATAATGGTTGTAACCATTTGAATATGTATTGCAAACTCCATTAGACATCATCTGCGGAGGTCCACAGTAATTGTTGTAACATTGTGGTACTTCCTGATGGCCTGGCACCTCACACTCCTGAACCTCATCAAAGCTCGCTCTGCTTATACCAATGATCTCTGCATAGCCCATCTTCTGCCTTAAAATGCTTGTTAAGCATACAGAATCAACCCCTTCTCCAGTCACTACTACACGGTTCCTGTTCCTGCCTTGTATTGCAACAGATTCCACACCTACCATAAGGAATCCTTTGTTAGGCTGATAGGAGCATTCAACCTATGGTAAACTTAGTGCCCAGGACATATAAAAAAAAAAGATACCTCTCACACTTGATGCTAACTTCAGGGCCTTGTTGCGGCACCTGTCACATATCACATTAATCTTGATCACTATTTTTTGCTGCAAAACCAAGCACACATGTTAATTCCATCAATCAGATCATCAAAGATCTTGTTTTCTTTTTTGAATAGCTTCAGATAAGTAAAAAGTTATGCTCAACAAAAGAAGTTCGCCACATAAACCACCCAATCTTCTTGGGTAAAGCTTGCAATCAAAATTTATTTCAAGAATCCAAAAGTGTGACAACTATTTAACAGTCTCTATAAATGATAGATTTTAAGAATTATTGTCAAGTGTACCTCCATCCTTTTTTGTAGGGAAGAACTTGCAAAATTTTCAAGCTATATAAGTATGTTGGAAACCTGCGGAAAGGATCCTGTGCTGAGAAGGTAAGAATGATGGTTAAGACAAGCCTGAGACAGGGAAATCGTAATACTACAAGATTCTTGCTGAACTTTCAATGAGCAAAGCTTGCTTACTGAAATTCTAGCAACTCCAGGTTCAACGATGCTTCAACAATTGCCCTGTTTGATGGAAATTATGAGGATTTTGTTTAATGAAGAAGATGGTACTAAAGTCTCTTGGATTTTCTTAACTTGATATAAACAGGATATTATTGGAAAATCAATTAAATCTAACAAAATCTAGCTATGTATGCATAAAGTTATTACTTGAAATGATTTACAAGCCCTAAACCATGCAACAAAGCTACTTAGTGATTCAGAATTTTATAAAACGAACGGATAAATAGAGACAAAGTTGAATTATTGCTATCTGTCGATTTTTTTAACTATTGAGACAGCAGATAATTTCATGAAAGATTAATCCTTCTATTTCTTTTTTTAGAAAAAAAAGCTGATAAGACAAAATGAAGAATGAAAAAATAAAGTTCGGTGACTTCAGACATCTTCAAATAGGAAAGGAAAAGGAAGAACAAGTAATCAGATTCTGAGTAAAATAAATAGGGTACTCCTGAAACAAAATAAGAAAGACACATAAAGCAAAAGGAAAAGGAAAACAACAACCAGATCAACGAGCTGATCGACATGACCAATGCCATCTTACGCATCAAAATCTTCATAAACCAAGAGTGTTCAACAGAAAATTAACACATGCATCGGGACTATCGGCGACAAAATCTCTCTAAACTGTTATAGAATCTACCGTATAGATTATGAAAGCCACTATAGTGGAACATACTGGTTCTTTCATTTCTGTCTATAATTCTTACATAGAAACAAAGTGGAGCAAATCACATAATTTCAACAACAAAAAGTAGAATATCCTAGATTGAACATCATCTCATACTTGCCAAGCAATGAACACCCATGCATATTTTAAGATTCCTGCATGCGGTTGAAAGGTTCAAGCCGACGCATGACTGCATTCATGATTCCCATGCAAACATTCAAAACATGGAATGGCATTTCAAATGTTCTGAAATGAGGGAAACATGGAGCACAAGAACTCACAAACCTCTGCTCACAGCCGAAGATACGATCGACCGTACAAGACCAACTGAGAAACGCACGTAAAGGATAAGAAGATATCACTGCCCTGTTGTACTCTACGTTCCTTCTCGCTATTTATGAGCTCGCAGAGGATAAAGGCCGCATCTTTCTTTGGATCGGTATCATGGGGAAGTAAATTTGGCTTACCATATGAGTCGCCAGTGGATCGAGCAATGATAACCAAATCGCAGTATCCTCGTCCCACGAAATCCCGATCCACCAGCCGTTCTTGGCCTCTTTCTTTCCTTCCTTTCCTGGTTCGATCTTTCTCCTTCCTTCTCCCGGCCGGTCCCTCCTCCGGGGCATCGGGGGAATCCCATAGGCTTCTCGCCGCAACGAGCCCTAACCATGGACTTGAATCGGGTCCGACCGAATCAGATCGGAGTCCGCGCAGATTGGACCCAATTGACATATGAATGATTTCTTGCCTTCCTATCTGTAATAAATATGCGGATTAGATTCATGTAATGCAACTTAAATATCAAGATCTCGATCGATAGAAACCATTCTCAAATCTTGAAAATATGCACGCAACAACATACCAATTAAATGTTGGTGAATTATGATTAGGATGCTTCGATTAGGCGAAAGAAATAACCAATTAATAAGATTATTTGTTTTTAACCTATTGAAGAGTAAATGTAGATTACTCATTTAAACCTTGTAGATTACTCGTATAAGCGAATCTGGCATTCATTTTGGCTTAGGAACAGGGAGTTATGTGGTCATTCTTGTCGTCATTAACCCATATTAACATGACATAGAAATATGATGTACCTAACCCTTCAATAACAATGTCATAGGATAAGATTTATTTACATTCATATCATAATTATTCATAATAAGTTTGGGTTAACTCGATTGACGTTTTATACACTATTTAACGTAATAATTTTTTATTTTTTAAATAAAACTCAAAGCTTTTCTGTTTGGGTCAACAATGAAAAAAAAATAATCATTCCTTCTATAATTTTTTTTTATACTTGTCATTTTCGATTCATCTAAAATTTTCAAATTTATCATAAATTTATCCCTTCTGATAACTTATCATAAATTTCTAAATTCGAATCCTATTTACATCATTTATTTTAAAATAAATAATAATTAAAAATTCAAGTACTCCTCCTCAGGAACATATAATTAAATTATACAGCGCACAATGTAGAGAAGACAGTCCACCGACATGTATGCAACAATTCATTGCTCTTGGGACCTACCTTGTTCTTTCCAGCCATACAAGAGCTGATGGACACATCAACCTCTTGACCATCACCTCACATGGAAGGCATGCAAAGACAAAAGCCCTCACCAGATATGAATAAATGATGCACCAATTTGTCATCAATATGTCACTCAACACTTGTTTTCTTTTCTGCATTCGGCACCATGCATTCAGGGCTCAGAATACAGAGGTATTGAGAAGGGACAAAGGTAAGAGACAAAAGTACTTTGGCCACCGAGGAAATCCAATCAACAATCACATCAGTGTCCTCACAGTCATTATATTGATACGACAGATGAAAGCATTAAGTACATGGGGTAATGGCTTAGTCAGCTGGAAGAAAATACAGAGGCTCTCATGTTGTTAGGTGCAAGAAACCATGGACTCAAAGTTGTTAGTTTGTCAAAGAGGGCTCGACATGTGAATCATCAATGTTGTCAACTTCAAAGAAAAGGGACAGGAACTTACAGCAGCAGTATTTATGATGCTCGTGGAGGAGTTGATAGCTTTAGACCATGCCTGCTCGTGTTTGTAATTTGTTTAGGACAGATAGCTTTTAGAACTAAGTCGAGTTCTGAGGAAGTCAAATGAGATCAGCAAACCAACAAGACTGATTCTTGACTACCAGAGAGAAGCATGATAAAAACACAAGTTATAATGATGAGAAAGAAATCCATTGCAATTAAATCTGAAGCCAATTGAAACAATTGGGCATACAGTGGTTTTACATGAAAGTGCTACAACACAAGTTTATATTACATGAAAACTTTGGAAGGAAAACAAAAAAAAAAGTATCCCATGATGTAATCCCTGATGCCTAATATTAGTAACGAAGCATATACAGTAGGACAGCATTTGTGCAGATACTAAAACCATGGGAACAAGAAAAGCTACAATGAATACGAGGCTATCGAGAAAATTCGAGCAAAATCGAGCTGAGCAGTTTTAATTCGGTGCTGAGAAGGAAAACAAGAAAGAACCTCAAAAGATACATGGAAAGTGGGTCGGAAAATATCTGAGAACCATGTCCAGTCTCAAGGATTGATGTTGCATTCCCGTAGGAAAATGTGATTGTAATCTACATTCTTAGACCAATAGCCACGATACTGAGGTATGCCAATATCCAGCCAAGGCTTCATGTTTCCATTGTAGTGGATGACTGCTGCTTGCTCAATATCCTTGTGGTCTACATGTGGGTTATACCCAAGGCCCAAAACATGCCACCGACGATCGATGGAAAGTGTACGGTTGTAGAATGTTATTAAACCAGGAGGAAGACTTCCCAATTTCCATAGTTGTCTATCAATATTCTGTGAAAAGCATAGACATGAGACAGATTGGAGATATATGAAGTATAGAGTGCAGCTGCAAAGTCAGATAGAGAATTTCAAAATCTAGCATACAAGAGAGGCCTGGGAGATCTTTTACGTTTCTAACTAAATAAAGACAAAACAGAATTCTCTTTTTCCAAATAAACAAACCAGTTACCCTGATCACACTACTATATTGGCATGTGACACTAGAGAAGTTATAAGCTTGTCCCACACCTATAAACATGGTAACCACATCACCAAGGCTCACAAAGTTGACTGCCTTTCTGAAGAAGGTTCTGGTTCTCTAATTCAAATTCTCCAATATTGAGAAGAATATGAGACAAGATAATAATCCAAGATTTCAAAATCTTGACTGGAAAAATAGGTTATAATGTACAAAAGCAAAGCACGAGGGATAAGCAATGTATACAATAGATAACAAGTAAACAAAACATTAGAAAGATATGCATCATATCTTACCAGATTCTGCCAGTAGTGATAAACTTCAGTAACCTTCTGCTTCCGCCACTCGTCCAAATCAAACACATTCATTCCGTACGCCCAACCACAAGCACGAGGATTGAATCTCTTGGCAATAAGAGGATTTGAGAAATTAAGATACTTATCAAAACGGTGAAAGCTTTGTCCACATGTCTCAATTGCACCATTGACTTTTCCTTTCATATTGATCTCCCAAAGGCCAGTCAGGTCTCTCCGTACGACAACATCATCATCTAAAAACACCACTTTGTGCAGCTTTGGAAATACCTCGGGTAGGTAAAATCGCAGGTGATTTAAGATGGATAGGTACTTTGGGTTTCTGTACTTCAGGTTTGCATCAGAGTTTGCAGTAGCATGATGAGTCCTGAAGTAATAGTCGATCATGGACTGTGACCTCAGCTGTTTCAACACTGGACTATAGCTGTCATTTAGCCATGTAAATTCTTCAATGTTCTGAACTTGAATGGCAGCTTTTCCAGGTGGGTTAGCTAAAAACCACATCCTCATAGCTGCATAGTTCAGTCTGTCAGTTACAATGTGGAAAACATGATCTGCTGGGTTCTGCAAGAAAGATATTTCTGTTTAACTAACAGAACCAAACTGAAATCAATAAATTAATATGAATGGCAGCATTGTATCAAGCACTGACCTTAGCATTAGATACAGTTGAGTTCACCACCACTGCTGTAGCCAACACATTGTCCGAAAACAAAGCATAGTGAAAGAGGTCAGGGTCTTCAAGTTTTTCTTCATATGGGAACTGCCGCTGGCTAGAGTTCATAGAGAAGTACTCGGCAGAAAGCCTTAAAGGAAGACAATGTAGACCTTTGGGAATGGTCTTTGCAGCAAGTTGTGCTAGAAACAATGACTGTTTCTTATGAACTCGTAACTGTTCCTCGCTGGAGTGAACCATAGCACGGAGCTTCTTTACAACAGCAGCACAATCATCTTGGATCTGCTTGCCTTTCGCCAAAGTTAGCTCCATCGCCTTCAGTCTCTCATATGCACTAAATTAGACACCATGAAAGTAATGTCAAGAAAACCATAAGAGCAGAAGCCATGTATATATGAGTACAAGTACATAACATCCATATACATGAATAAAACATGCAGATTAATCAACATTACATAAGAATTAGAAACAAAATTCCATCAAACAATCAGATAATCAGAAGTTATTGCAAATCCAAGCGCTTACTTTCTTGGCAGATCAGAATCCTTGGTTGCATCCCCAAGGGCACGCTGAACATCCTTTATACGTAAACGTAACTCCCTTACAAAGTGAGGATTCGATCGAATGGGCCCGATGCTGAGATAAACCTTTGCACGAATTAACTGATCCTTGAGTTGCCTGACCCTAGCATCAGGAATTGTTGTGCTGCTGCTCTTTTTCTCGCTAGGAACTATATGATATTTTTCTGTATTGTTCCTGGGAGGCACCTGTTTAACTTTCTCTTCAGATTTGTTTTCCTGAAAACCAACTAATAGGTGAACTTTGGTGGCATGGTTAGAAGCAAAAGATGACAAAAGGGACTGGAGGCAAATACTGCAAATTACAAGTTAAATGATTCTCTTCAGCGAGTAGTCATGTCATTCTTTTCTCTTCACTCTCTTGGTTAACATCAAAAACATCTTCCAAACTAATCTACGGCTCCTGCAGATCTCATCAAACTACCTTTTAAAGGGGCTTAAGCTGAATTCATTCAGATCTCCCAATAGTTATGAACTATTCCGATGCAATAGAGATGGTGACTTAAAGAAATTAAATTGAGAAACCTTCCCAAATAACAATATCAAAAGTACCCATCCCAGTTATCGCTTTCTTACAAGCCTATTCTGAATATGTTAATTTGGTTGTGATGGATTGACATAATCATTTATGCAGTTTATTAAGTCAAGATTGTCATAACATTACAAGGCTAGTGCACCTATACACAGTTGTATCGCAGAATTTATTATACTTAATTTTCCCACCAAAGCATAGAAGTATGTCTCATGTCACCAATATAATATAAGATCTTCTTCCATCAAGCCACATCAGCAACTTATAGTTCATATGAATTTCTGTAAACATTAGAGCATCAAAGTGCTCCAGCAACTTCAACAAAAAAATTTTCCCACCACAAAGAACTGTCCGAAAAGCACAAACAGATCATAAGTAAGTTCAAATAGGAAAAAAGTAACAAGTCATCACCAATGAAACTATGTAAACTTCATATGATCCCACTGGTCCACATACAGAAGCAACAATTAACAATTACAGTATGATATCCCCAAACCCAAAGATAATATAACTAAAATGGGGAAAAAAGAAACTTATATCAAAAGAGATGAATAATCTTAAAAACAAATAGTTAAGATACCTCTTTTTCTGGAACAGTAATTGGAATAGTATGTTGAGATCCTGTTTCCTCCTTGTTCTCTTCCACTGACTCAGGCTTCTCTAAACTATTGTTTCCAGTCACCCCATCGGTCACTTCCTTGATCACTCCCTCCTCTGGCAAACTCCTCTCATCTACTGCAGCCGACAGAACTCTGCTCTTGTGCTCCTCAGATTTCCCCAATGGCAGTTCTGTAAATCATTGAACAAATTAACAGTCATCAGCAACCTACCACTTCTTGGAGATAAAACCATATATCTTGTGACCTTGTAAAGACCTCCATTGACAAGAGATCTCTGATCTACCAACACATCAAGATCCACAAAGTGTAAAATTCTTCCAACAGAAGGCAAATAAAGGGGAACCCGACCTTTGGCGGTTGAGTCTTTCGATCCATCCTCCGGAGTCGTCAGAATCTGATTGGAATTGTTTGAATTATCGGAGTATACGACTCCTATTGGCTCCTTCACAGAATTCGTCAACTCCTGTAACAGAATAGGATATTTTTATAGTGTCAAGATCAAGATCTTGCGAAAAAGAACCAAGTCTTCACCGGAACTCTGAGATCCAAAAGACGAACGGAGGCAGAAAACTTGGGAGAGAATTCCAGTGCTACCTGCGCAAGCGCGCGCAGTTCCCCGGCGTCGGAAGTCCCAAAGCTCTGGAGAAGGAACAGTCGTCGAGTGAATTCTTCTAAGATTGTGCATCTCCAAAATTGGAATTAGAAAGGAAAAGTTAATACTTACCAGACTGGAAGCCTCATCCCCGACCTCATTGTTTGCTGTGCAAACAAGAAGAGAAAGAAGAGAAAGAAGCATGAGAATACCATCAAAACGACAAGAATTTCTCAGAAATCATCAAGCACAACCCCCATTTCCCCCTAAAAAATTCGATCCTTCCCCCCGTCCCCTCAAATTCGGGCACTCACAGCTGGGATTGGAGGATGCAGAGAGCCGATCGGTGTAAAGAACGATGGGCGAGAGGACCGTGAGGCAGAGCAAGGCCAGAACGAGTCTCCTCCTCGTCATCTTCAGCCGCCGCTCATCCTCCGCCGGGAAAGCCTCGCTCAAGACACGCCACCACCCACCCTCTTCCCTCCGCTGCCCCCAACAGCAAGGACGAGCAGGAGAGGGAGGCGCCGACGGGAACCGCTTCCGGCCTCTCGTCGAGGGCTGAAGCAGCCACGAAACGAGATGGGGAGCGCTTACGGTTTTCCTGCCCTTTTCCTTCTTTTTCTACTAAAAGGAGTATATACACCTGGCGAAGCTGATAAACACACCCCCGTCACGTACCATCTACCCCACCACGCAACTCTGTTCACCGGGAGAGAGTGCGAGAGAAGAGATGCGTAGTTAATCGATAAAAGGGAGTGTATGTATATATCACCAGTCGGATGGGACATCCCAGCCGTCCATTAGGCTCCGAAAGCCCGTTGTGATCGATCTGATGGACAACGTATATATACTTCGACGAATCAACTTGTGGATGGAGACAGTAATGTGACTGGATTAAACGATGGACTATAGTGCGTTACAATTATTTTAATGTGGCTCGTCTGTCTCCCACAGTCTTGGTTGGTCTGATTCGACCATTGATCGGAAAATAATTAAGAAAGACGAAGTTGAATTGGATCCAATTTGATTGATTTTTTATTTAATTAAACGGAAGAACCAGCCAATTTGAGTTGCCTGAAAGAGAGTATTGGAGACTTTTGTAGTCCTTTTTTAGTGTTAATAATAATCTAACAAAATATAAAAATTGCTGGAGATTTTATAATCGAGCTATCATTTTCTATGTTTAATATTATATATATATATTGTGAGAGTTATTTTTTAATTATTTTATTCATTCGATAAAAAAAAGATCGGAGGCGGAGTGGGACACCCTACTGCTCCATTGGCGCCACGTGGTGGGCCATCAAGTGGGGTCCACCTCCATGTGCGTTGTCACTGGTCCAATTAGAATTAAATAAAATAAACACTAGAGAGAGAGAGAGAGAGGGGTCAATCGTCACTCTCTGGTCGAATAAATAAATAAATATATATATATATATATATATATATATATAATGGGTTTTTTTAGAAAATATTCATATTTTTTAGTATTTCTTAAAAAGTATCTTATCTTTTTTTTTTCAAATAATATCTTTGATTTAAAAATACCTAAAATATCTCTCAAAAGTTTTTTCTGCTAAAATTTCTTATATATTTTTTTATTAATTTTTAATTATTATAATATGTTTATTTGTCTTATTTATTTTTTAATAATATTTATAATATTTTATTAACTGATATTATATTATATCTCTTTAGTCATTATTATTCATAGACTATTATAATATTATTTTTTAAGCTTATAATTAGTTTGATTGAAATTAACAGTTTACTTAAATCATTTATAATATTTTTAAACATGTTATATATATATATATATATATATATATATGTTTATAGAATTCTAATTTTGAGCACACTGTAATTTACACTGCTAGTATTCAATAAAAAATAATTAAATAGTTGTTATTCAATTAAAAAAGACACTGAAAAGTTGTGGAATGAAGAATTTTGTGATTATTTTCTACTGGTCACATGGAAATTTGAATCAAAATAATTAATCCAAATCAAAGGCAATTGAAAAGCTGTAGAAGGAAGGATTTGGTGATTATTATTTTATCTACTATTTGACAAAGAAATTTTAGAAAACAAGAGCTTACTTCATTTTGGGTGGAGCCCTTTTGGAACTGGTGGACCCACCTGTTCTCCTCCTTAGGAACACAAAGTCCGGGATCTATGTGGGCACCAACTTTGGCAACCCCAAATTGTCTCCAACTTGTAATACACGTAGCGGTTCTCCAGCAATTCGCCATGGCAAGCTTAGCTGCGAAACATCATCAACAGCTCCAGCATCACCGACACTTTTAAAGGGGTCACCTGTTCTTTTATTTATTTATTATTTATTTATTTGATAATATACATAATTTAAGATGAGGATGATAGAGATATAAAGGGCCACCAGAGTGATTAAGTTTTTTCTGACCTTTCAGTCTTTCTTATCCACTTAAATCGAATTTTCGAGTTTGTTTAGAAAAAAAAATATTATTTTATTTATTATTTATTTATTTGGTAATATACATAATTTAAGATGAGGATGATAGATATATAAAGGGCCATCATTTATGAGTGGTTGAGTTTTTTCTGACCTTTCAAGTCTTTCTTATCCACTTAAATCGAATTTTCAGATTTAGTTAGAAAAATAAATATTATTTTTATTTATTATTTATTATTTATTTATTTGGTAATATACATAATTTAAGATGAGGACGATAGAGATATAAAGGGCCATCATTTATGAGAGTGATTAAGTTTTTTCGGACCTTTCAGTCTTTCTTATCCACTTAAATCGGATTTTCGGGTTTAGTTAGAAAAATAAATATCTAAATCAAGATTTTTGTTCAAGCTTGGATATGATGAAATTGGTGGGTGGTTGTTTTTTTGTTGTAAAGGTAAGTAGTAATGACAGGATTCCATATCTAGTTACTAATCAAGCTAGCTAATATCTTCAAATTTTGTTGTCTTCAAACTGCAATTTACTGAAATTCTTTAGATTGAATCTTTATTTTTCTGTCCTCTCTACATAATTGATTACAAAAAAAAAAGGAGAAATGAATGGTTTTGAGGCATAAACAAATGTCATGCATCAAAACAAACACATATTTCCCAGTAATCCACTCCTGAAGGAATTGTTAGTGTCAGCATGTGGTTGTCATCCTTGAACATGAACTCCTCAGAGGTTGAGTTAACTGTGCAAACTTTGGGTTTTACGCTGGAATAAGCTCCAAAAAGACCAGATCCTCTGCCTTTGATGCTCAAACGGCACAAAGATCGATCGCTCACGAAGTCCATGGCTTCGATGGCACCACCAGAGTTGTACATTTTGATCAGTCCGATCGGTGCAAATTGGATGGGATCGTCGTAGCTCTGAACACATGGAAGAACAAGGCATGACGCAGAAGAATTGTTGAGGCAACAGTCATTAAAATGAATAATAACTTACCTTGATTGGAGATATGGTGAAAAGTTTGCACTGCAGAACATTTAGTGTGACATCCAGTGATCCATTCTTTGGCAATATGGAGAGAGATCCTGTTGTTTTGGAAGAAAGATGAGCAAGGAAAGGTGCCTGTGTCATGTGATTCTGATAACAAACTAGAGAGACACTCAAAATCAAACTCTAATTGCTCCAAAGAAAGGAGAGAAGTGAGATTAAAGTAGGTCACAGCATGAAAAACATTAACATGCTTCCTTTCCACTCAGGAACAGGAGCACTACATGGCAAGTTTTAATCACTGTCATCCATCTGCTCATTCAGCCGTGTCTCTTCCTATATTAGTTTGCAGCTCAATATAGTGTATGAAAGAATATATAAATTCTACTCTTTTTTTCTTTTTCTAAAGAAAATAAGAAAGCAGTGAAGTAATTCTAGTCTGAAACCTGAATAGGATAAATTTGCCATTTTGTTCTCAAACATTCAGTATCCTGCAGCTTTAATGTCCATGTACTTGGCATCTCTACTATTTGGACACTGAAATATTACAGTGGATGGCAGTGTCTTTGGTTGTTCCACATTTACTGCCATGTGATCTGTCTCTCTTAAGGGTATAGTCAGAATAAATTTGCATTTGATGAAGTAGGTAACAATTCTGTAGATGAATATGTACTATGTATGAGAGCATGAGAGAGAGCTAATGATACTTACCATCATGGTAGGAGTAAACTGCACAATCACCAGTCCAATTATCACCTGCAACCTCTTCAAGATACTCAACATCACCAGGGCTAACATGGCCAGTGAGGTATGTGACCTCAGAACTTGGAGTACTTGGAACTTTAAGGCATGGCCATGTCCCTGCACCCTGACAATTGAAGATGCCAAGGATTCCAGTACATTTGTTATGATTCCATATCTTCAGCAGGCTGTTCCTTAGAGAGAGAGAGAGAGCAAATGTTATATAAAGCACAGTACTTCCTCTTGATAGAAGGTAACAGTTCTCTGATGGAGTTTACTGATGGAAAGGAACTACACCTTTTCCCATCCATCACTGGATCATCAAATAAACAATCTCGAGTAGGCCTCCCGGGATATTTAGCTCTGAGGATTGATCCATCTGGAAGAACAAGCTTTTTAAGAAGCTCAAAATCATGCTGATTTGGTTTGTCACTGTAAGACATAGTTTGATCATCATACCTCAAAGTTTTATAGTTTGAACAAGTTATCTCTACATGCCAAAACATGTCATATGTTTTCACCTGATGTAGACTCCACAACCTCCCAAAGCTCTTGCAGCTGCATGGAACTCTGCGGCATAATGGAGGCTCTGGAATCATTGTTATGGCATTATTCCCACATAGTCAGTTTACAAAGGGAAAGACAACAGATGCAACGACAAGAATCATAAATTATTTGCTGCATTATTGGCAATCAAGGTGTCATGAGAATAAAGAGTCAAAATCATTTCAATTTAACTGATAGAAGTAGCAAAGACTCACATAGAACATATCCCAGTCTGGGACCATAACTTCTCCAAGCCACATACTATTGAATGCAACAGCAGCAACATGAAGTGTCTGTGATAACATGTTTCTTGGCATGTAATCATCTGAGGCTCTGGTAATAGAGTTCACTTTCGAACTGGAATCACGAAATATGAGACGAAACATCACTGTGCTGTTAATGTTGAATTAAAATGAGATTAGAAGCATTGTTCTACTTGTATTCCTCGCCTGTATATTGAGTCTGTGCTCTGTGCCATGCAGCATATGATACTATTATCCTGAAAGTTCTTCGCGATAGATTTCTCGAGTGCCTCATGAAAGCGATGAGCCAAGGATACCCGGCCACCATGATTTGTTCCAATTGTTTCCAGGATATTTTGTACATCCACTTTAACTCCATCTATATTTTGTGACATGAGATAGCTGTGCAGATCATCATAGAAATCGAATGCTTTCTCAGGGTCGACCATGCCAACCCCATACTTCTCCATGCAATCCATAGTCAAGTCTCTGGAATGCGAAAGATTTCCTGGAGATTGAACAGGATAAACTAGCTTTGAATTGTACTTCTTTGTTTCTGCTGCATCTGGACTTACTCCTCCCCAGTACCCCATCAGTGCGTGCCATACATAGACATACCTAATTGGGGTTTAAAGAAGAATGTAACTTGCGATACATTGAAAGAAAAGGAGATATCGTTGAACATCTACCTTAGTCCATATGTTTGCTTTATATTTGAAACAAAATCCTTCAAAGAAGTAGCTCCATTGTTTGAGGCTCCATCTGCTGTTCTTCGGAATTTGTTGTTCTCTTTAACACTGACTAATCTAGCACCATACCTTCGTATTGGAGATAAAAATTTAGATGATAGATAAGGACTACTTGTATCAAGATGAAGAACTAATGCTGTAAAAAACATACTGAGATCCTTCAGCAGCTGGTTCACCTTCTTTCTGGAATTCATTTGAGGTGTCCTGCCAACCATCATCTATCAGTAGGAATTTTGGCGGTGTGCCTCCTTTCGATAAACTAGATCAACAGAGATCAATGAGTATATTAAGCACCACACACACACACACACACACACACAGACATACATAATGTATCTTTATACTTCAAGAAAATTCATAACAAGATATTAAAGTTAGAGCAGATATTTTTCTTGATTGCCACTGTGCAGGAACCAGTTTCTTATTTATGCTGCCAACTGATCCTCTAGACTGATGGAAACCAGCAAAGTTCTATCATACATTAAATCCACATTCTTGCAGTTGCAGCATAATCATTTTGCAATTTACAACTTCAAACAACTAGACTAATACAACAAACCAGAATTGTCAGCAGAGGCAGCTACACATATAATACTTGATAGATTCCATTGGAAAAAGCATGAAGATAGTTACCTCTTCAAACCATCTTCAATTCCTTGAGGATTAACATCAAAGTAGAAAGCATCCCAAGTGCACCAGCCAAAATAATCCAGCACTCCAGGTTTCTGATTCAACAGCCAACAAAGCAGAAGAGGTAATAAGTTTCAACATGTCTCATCCGATAAATCATTGATACATAACATAACATGTGATCCTCAACTTGCCATTTTATGCTCACGCACTGAAAAGGTCCCCTTGTGTTTCTCTAGCATTCTGTAAAGGGTAGTATATCAGAGGAGTTGATGATGATGTTCTAATCCTGCAGAAAATTTAAAGACTGTAACATTTAATAAAGATCAGATGTTCTTCATTGCATTTGGAGGAGACATACTTCATGGATTCCTTCATGAGGTCAAATGGATTGCTCCCGTGACTCACAAACACTGCTTCCAGGAACCGGGATCCTGTAGTCGCTGGATCACCTACAGGAGCAGTAACAACATCAAAGCAGTCATTAAAGGAGTGTGACGATAGCCATTAGACAATGGCTGCAAGATAACTACCACTTTCAATGCAGAACTCAAGTTCATCTGAGGAGTTCCCCTGCAAGCTGCTTCTGTAATCACCATCTAAGACAGGCAAGAAGAGTATATAGAATGCTGGATCGGCTGCGGCTTCGTGAACTCCTCCATCAACAGCCTCATATTGTCTTGCTTCAAGAAGCAGCATTTGGGTCTCAAAAGGCACATCACTGCCTGCAGTCCCCACGCGGGGAATCATCCACCAGATCTTGAACCTGAATAAGCAAAGTAGTCGGTAGTCCCTGCATCACAACACCATGAATGAAGCTACATCAAAGAGACAATTCCCTTCATCTAAAATGATAGATGAAGAATGTTCTAGTTTGGCATCATATGATGAGGCATTCAAGCACATCAAAACAGTGGCATTCCAATAAAGCAAACTGAAATAAGAACAAGACGAGCAAAATAAATCAACAAGAGTGATAAAGGTTAAAAGGATTTTTTGTTGGGGGGAAAGAAGAGTAAAATGTGTATAATCAATAAAGAAAAAGAAAAACGAAATTTTGGCATCAGATGGTTGATTTCTTGACAATCTTTAATCATCTTGAATCAAAGTATAATGTATATTGCTCATCTGAATCATTCAGATCTCCAATCATGAGAAACCAAGAAAGGCTTCGAGATTCATATGCGAATGTATACGTAACACAGAGAAAGAAAGATGCATTTTTTACCTAAGAACACCGAGTTTGAAGACGTGACGCGAGTCCTCTCGATCGGCCACCGCGCCCAAGAACGCCGCTGCTCCATCCATCAACGGCGGCGAGACGACGACATTCTGGGGCACGCCGGTCAGCGCCTCCCTGCCATTGACCCTCAGAGCTCCGTCCTTGACGAACGGCGCAGCAGCCAAGCACATGGAGCTCCTCCAAGTCCATCCCCGCCTCCGGCGCCCCCCATTTTCTCGGGGAAACAGAGGCCTGGGGCACCGGAAGGGGGAGCGCAGTCGTAGGGGAGTAGGAAAAGACGCAATCATAGCCTCCTCCTCCTCCTTCTTCCCTTGGGTTAGAGGGGTGAACACTTCACTTGGGCGGTTAACAACAGTCTTTAGGATGGAGAGGAGGATACAGGGAGGCGGCGACCACCAAATCTATGGCCAATCATATGACTTGGATAACATCCGTTGAGGACACCTCACATGGGCCGGTAGTCACACGATCATATGATGGACTTATCTTGAGAGAACGGAGTGACGACCAAATCCATAGCCAATCCAAGAGTTGGATATGTCGGGGACATAACTATATCTGCATAGGGGACAAAAGAATGCGTGTCTGTATAAAATCTAATCATCAGATATCATTAAAATATACTTATTGCGTTGGTACCAAATCTAATGAAAATATTCTTCCAATCGAATCTAATCCATTAAATCTTCAGACAACATAAGTTAGTCTTCTCTCCTTCATACTATTTTTTTATATAGAATAACTTTTTTATATAACTACCGAAGAAAATTTGTTCGACATACTCTTAAAAATTAGTCTAGTTATCGAGACAATCCAAACTGGGATCTTCGATGTTAAGAAAAGAATCATTTTTCAAGTTTGAAAGCATAAGAAAAAAATTTATTTTTGAAAAATAAATCGAGTCAAATTAATTTTAACGCATCAATCAATCATCAAAATCAACATTAAATTGAATAAAATAGTTAGGCTTGTCCATTAGAATCCAACACCAAGCCATTCAAAGTTTGGCATGGACCATAGGAAATCCTGACCAGAGTTGGAGGGTCAAACAGGGTACTTGTGACTTCTTCTTCATCAGGTGTTGACTAACAAGCAGCAGCAAGAATTAGATCCCCTCTGGCAAGGACTTCGAAGGTGCACTGACACAACTGCTCTATAAATCTAAGAGAGTAGCATCATGGAGAGAGAATGAGTTGAATGATAACATGGATAGCAGATGCTGTCACGGGGTTGTCTTCCTTCTGTTCCTGCTTGCTTGCTCAGCTGCAGTTGATTCCAGAGTCATCATGCACCTTCCAAATGCTCTTGGTACTCTCTTTCTCTCTCTCTCTCTCTCTCTCTCTCTCTCTTGCTTGGTGGTAGTTCTTCCCCATTGGCAAACACTATAAGATAACAGCAGGTGTATTGGTCTCTTCTTTTTTTGTTTTTTTGTTTTCTTTCAGTTTTTATCCTTTTTCTTTGGATTAGAATTGCTTCAAGCTCTGGGAGAGAGTCAGTTCCTCATGCATCTTAGTTAGTCTCACTTAGAGAAAGTCCATATTTAGTTTACAGTTGTTCTACATGTTTGTCTACAGAAGATGGAGTTCTTCTTCCCAAAAGAGAGCTCCTGGGTGACAGAGCTTCACAGAATGTGCCACCATCTCCCAAAACTCATGGCAGCTACAATAACTTTGCTCCTGGACATGGATATTGATGGATTCTACTCTTCTCTGGCATGGAGATCATGTATTCCATTATTTTCAGATCTACTTATCATTGAAAATAATACATTGCTCATCAATTTCTACTCATTTACAAATCTATGATTCTGACTGCTTCACTCCAAGTTGGAAACAGAAAAGACTCGGGTGTCGATATTGGAAGTTGTTCTAGCATTCCAAGAAATCCTGAAATCAAGTGAACATTGATCACATTACAAATACAATGATAATATCAGGCAATCAGATATAATTTGATAAGCAGATTGCATTGCAAAGGATGACATGATAGTAAGATTTCAACTGTTAAGGGTGAACATTTTTGTCCTGGGAGATGACAAGAACAGGTGATGGTGGTATCATTTCCAAGGTCTCTGTTTGTGTCTTTCCATCAGCTTCTTTGTTTGTCTGTTTTGATGCATCTGAGAGAAGACCTGCAATGTGCAGCCACACCCATGGTTTTGAGTAGGCCTGTATCACTGAGGTCCATGAGATGGCATCCTCTGTTTCCAGTCCATCATCAAATGCAAGCCAAGCTGATACTATTATGCAATAATGTCATCAACATCAATCATATTATTGAGCTCCATGAGATTTCATGGACAGATAGCCACCATTATATGATCCACCCACTTATCATCATGGATAACCCAATGGAACATCAATCATTCCTCAGATTCAAGGTTTCTGAATCCTTTATACCCTTCAATCTTAGATGATTAACAATCACAATCTGCTTCAATTGATCTTCCAACCTATTACATATTGAGTCCAAGTTCTACCTTAACAAAGATAAAAAAGAACAAAGAATTCTTTTAAGAAGATGAATGATCATAGAAAAGTTGGACCTTCCTCTTATGTGCATCCCCCATGCCCACTTCCAGCCTCAGCAGGAGAGGATGAAGCTCTAAAGCACAAGCATCAACAACTCCTTTGTGAGGTTAAACAAAGAGTACAACCTATAACAACATCAACAACATGAAGAAAAGTAGATGGAAGAAGCCACAGCCGTTGACTTGTTCAAGACAATAGATGCTTCAGCTCAACGCAGAGGTCAATTGAAAAGCGAACGTTGGACGTCTCTCTCTCTCTCTCTCTCTCTCTCTCTCTCTAGCCGTATGGTTCATTCTTGTTTCCTAATCCTTCTTCCTAGCCAATCAACAACTATAATTCAATTAAAATAGAGAGAGAGAGAGAGAGAGAGAGAGAGAGGTTTGAGCTTTTTTCTTGGTTCAATGCCAAAAGGGACCAAAGTCCACCTCGCATTAAGACCTCAAAGACCATTGGAATAACCACAGCAAAGAGCCAAAAAGCCACCACATTTCCCCTTCTCTCTCTCTCTCTCTCAGAGCTTGAGAGAGTGTGTAATTGTTTTGATCTTGTTTTCTGGGTTGATCCACCGACCCGAAGCTTCGATTCCATCGGAGGAGACCCACAGCCCGAGCCTGGTCCTGACGGCGGACACCAAGCTGCAGCCTCCGATGGACGGCTGACCTCCACGAGCGATTCGTCGACGCCGTCGCCCAGCTCGGGGCCCCCGAAAGTTGGTACCTTTTTGCCTTTTGCTGCAACTGTTCCCTGGTTCTCCATCATCAATGACCGAAAGGTGTGGGCTTGCGAATCGATTTCTCTGTCGTTTTGGATCGCTTCGAAAGTTATCTGGTTTTGTTGCGTTGTTTATTCCTCTCGCTGCCATCCCTGTCTCCCTCCTTTTGCCTTTTAGGCCGCTAGAACTTGTTCTCTGTTGTCTCTCATGAATGACCGAAACGTGCGCCTTCTCAATTGACTACGGGCTTTTCGTGATCCAAGTAGGAGTGCTTTGATATCGTTGCTTATTTGTTCTTCTGATGTCCCATGCTTTCAGGTTCCTCTTTCCATTTGCCTCTCATTAGCCATCACTCAGCTCCAATGGCCACTGTAATGTGCAGTTGTTGCAATTAGTTTTTAGCTTTTGATGTATTCATTTGGCAAACAAAAGCAAACGACAGATTTAGGGCTGACCAATAAAAGTTTGACTTGTTTCAAGTAATCAAAACAAGCAGATAGCAAGTAAGCAAATAAATGGTTTCATTGGATACATTTTTCTGGCTTTCTTTAGACATAACCATTGCCTAGTGGAGTCTTGATCAGTCAAAGGCTTCACCAATGACTTTGCTAAGGATAAACAAAGCAAGATCCAAATCATTTTCATGAGACATTTAAAGCTGGTGAATCTGGATGAGGCATAGCTTTCTTGGTCGTGGTGAATGAAAATAATCAAAAATAGTTTTGATATCACAACTTCACAGCATGACCAGATTCTGCCTGACTTTACACTATTTCTTGGTGTCACTGTTTAGACAATTCCATCTAACTTACCTAAAACTTGTTGAATGATCTTGAACTAATCCTCAGCAAAACTAGCAAATGGAGTCACAATTAAAATACAATTATGAAGCTGAATAATGTGTGGTGATATAGGTTGATGACACATGGAACACATGTATCAGAGTTATGAACAGTTTAATTTTCCCCCAATCGGTTGCTGCTTCCCTTGTCAAGTAATCTTTTACGTTATAGAGTCAGTCATGAACACATGAATCAAATTCTCTTTGTTTAAGCATCTTTTGCCAAAGTATTATCACTCATCTTAGTGATTTGAATTGATGTAAATTGTTGGTTTTGATGATCATTTGTCTGTGACAAGTTGAATACTGTAGAAGCAACACCAAAGGCTATCATGCAAACGATGGGTGCTATAAAGGGCTGAAACTTTTTCACCTGAAGAGTCATCTCCAGGTACTGTTAGACAAGTTAATGTTTTAATTCTCAATTCATGAAGCTCCTCTGAGTTATTGTTGCTGCTAGAATCAATTTGATTTTCACTGATGTACTTGGTTTTCCCTGTTAATGTTTTCAGAAATACAGATCAGGAAAGCAATCAGGCAAAGAAATGACTGAACAGTCAAAAGATGGCAGGTCCAGAAGTTCTTCCTTTGTGTTGTCTTTGCTCAACACCTTGTCTGCTCATTCAATAATCTTTCCAAAAAGGTTCCAAAGAATTTGGTAGAAGGCCTTGTTGTCTTTAGGTGATCTATTTAAACCCCCATCGTTATAACTACCTATCGGGGAAAAGAAGTTTGGAGTCTGTCTCAGTTCTATCTTCTTTCCTAATATAGTCAGATAAGTCAGATCTCGGATCTCTTTCCAAATTCCTCTTAAATTGTCCTTCTTGTCGATGGAACTTGCTATATCTTTTTTTTTCAGAAAATGTTTCTCGTCGGCTACCAATTCAGAAGGCTAGCGGAAAACAGATAGAGCAGGCAGAGTAAATACTTGAAAGAGATTCTTGCATTGACTGTCTTGGGAATCACCTTTTCATATCTAGTTGTATGAGAGAAACTAATCGAATCCAATCATCGGGATTTTACTTTTTTGACAATCAGTACAAGTGATCATACAGAAGCCTGATTGTTTTACATTTATTCGGCTACATCGCTTTTACTCCTTGCCACTTGAATCTCAGCTTCCTGCATTTTAGAGAATAGGAGCAGCAGTGCTTTATCTCCAAAAAGTACCTACTCTTGATGTCAGTAAGTAGTATCTAACCTTCCCATCGAATAAACATGAGTCTATTTTGCTTGGACCTCTAATTCTGTGAATTTGTACAAGGCACGATGCATGAGCATGTCGGGAAACATTGGACATGGTTGGTGCTCCTGCTTTTAGGGGTCAGGAAGTGAAAGAGGCACTAAGAGCACAAATGGAAGTGCAAAGACTGCTTGAACAAGTGGAGGTAACTAAATCTTCTTTCTCTTTGATTTCATCAACAATTTTCATAGCCTAAGGTCCTAAACATTTGCCATCATTAAGTGTTCTGCTCTGACATGATAAAATTTGACTTCATCCATGTTACCAAGTAACATCTTGTCTACATCAAAATTCCTGGTTTCGACCTACTTCGCTGTGATCCATATGATCTTTTTCGGCCTCTTTGACTTTTAATCTGTGATAGACATTCACATATTTCTTACTACACTGTTTTTGTTCATCTTTCTTCTTTAGTTTTATTATCAGCCTGTCCACATACGTTCATTTCTGTATCAAGTTTTAACTTGGAGTGTCAACTGTGATTACACATAACATCCATCTTAACTTGTAGGATTTCTGTCAACTAAGATCTTCATCTTATTAGCTTCTAATGCTTATCAGATTTTACTAAAACTCTTTGTCGGGCTCCTTGATCAGGTTCAGAAGCATCTGCAGATTCGAGAAGTACATCGATTCCTTGCTAGCAAAGGCATATAAGATAGCGTCAGAGCAAGTCGCTTCGAATGGTTTCAGCACGACCAAACAAGAAGCTCCAGACATGGCAACCAGGGCCATTTGCTCCCCATCTCTCCTCCATCAGCTATCGATGAGTTCAGTAAACCTGCACGGCTCCAGTTGCAAGACTTCTCCCTCATCCACCACTGCCGCAACCATCGAAGGCCAGTTCTTCTATCAGAAGTTTGCTGAATTAGGAAACCAACCGTGCTGATGTATTGTCTGCAAGATGGATTCATTCTCTGTTATCAGATCTTGCAAATTTGGTGCCATCTTGTAAGATCATTGAGAAAACTCACACTGTCCCACTCCACAATTGTTCTGTAACAGCCCTTTAATTGTTCATGTACTACCTGCCATGAAACAAAGTCGCATTGTTGTGTTCTACGAGTTACTTGGAGTTGACTACGGTTGTCTTCTGTTCCAACACGCAGCAGCGGTCAAAAGGTCCTCTGCTTTGGATTGAAGTTGTTAGTGGGTCGGGTTTGGATATGATACAATTTGCGGGTACTCACACCCGTTAAGCACTCGGCTGCCACTAGTGAATAGCCGCAAGATCCATGTCTCAAGGGACCAGAAGATGCCACGTACCCTATTTGAGGATCGTCGGTGCAGGAGTGTTTTGCTCCATTATATTTCTGTTTTCCAAAGGCAAATAAGAACTTGTTAGCCAGTGTTATAACATTTGTTACGTGAATAGCTATGCATTATATCTTTCTATGGAGAATTATATTTTTATTATATATATTTATATAGTAATTTATCTATCCATATATAAATCTTAGATTTATGTGGATTTTATTTTTTTTATGCAATTAATTATTTTTTTTCATATACATATATATATTAAAGAAAATAATCAAATCAAACAAAAAAGGGTATTCATAATTACAAAATTCTGTCAATGTATTTGGAATATTATGGTAAAGTTGATTCAGAAGAATCCCATCAAAAAGGTTGACCAAAAAAAGTGAGATAGAAAAGTGTTGACTCTCTACTCTCTCACCTATCAAATATTTATTTTTAGCAGAATAATATTATTACTTTATTATTTTTGTTGTATTATTGATAGTGGGGTTTCCTCCACCGTACAAGTGTAGGGCAGGGGATGGCCACTTGAGACGAGGGATGTAACACGATTTAGTAACCGGCTACTTTAACCAGCGTGCTTCTCACGCGACCCCACCCCGCCTTTAAATGCAGAGGAAAGAAATGGATGCGGTTGCCTTTACGTGTATTCGAGCCATCGGATCCGTCCATCCACCATCCAACGGACAATATTTACCCATTTCCATCATAGGAAACGCGCCGGCACAATCCAAATCCCGCCCTATAAATATGCCTCGGGAGCGGCAACCCGCCGAGCGAGAGCGCGAACGAGTCGATCGATCGAAGTCCATTTCTTCGACCTCGGACGGTATGATTCTGGCGATGGTGGTTCTTTTAGTTCTTGGTTTCTATGTTTGATTGGTACAGTTTCGACCGCTGACTCAGTGGATTTGCTGACCTATCCATCTTCGTTTTCTTTGAGGAGATGAGAGATTGCTGATCTATCTGTTCATCATCTTAATTTGAACTTCTCGATATTTTGGTGGATTTTGTCGAAAAAGATTGGATTTTGGGCAAGGTAATAGCTTCTGCCATGACATTTGAAGGTGTTATTAGGACTCTGGAGGGATATTCTTCGTTGGGGGAGGAGCACCCGAGTCTCGATGTTACTTCTAGTGTTTGATTTACCGGTGCATTACATCAAAATTTTGCTTTTGCATCTCATGGGATCACTTCAAGTCTCGATTGTTCTTCGATTGTTTCAGAGACCTCGACAAGATTTGTGATTCCGATTGCTATTGATGGCCTCGAGGCGGATTTTGAAGGAGTTGAAGGACTTGCAGAAGGATCCTCCCACATCGTGCAGCGCAGGTGATGCTTACTTCCTAGTATTACCTGTTTGAATGGTTGCTTACATATCTTTATGCCGATTTAAACCAATTATTATGACGGAGATTATCCTCATATTAAATTAAATCTCTGCTCTTGAAAGTGTTGGTTTGGTGCACCCAAAATTTTGAGTAACAGGGTAATAGATGACTTGAGTCTTTATGATTCGTTTATTCAAGGAGCCTAGCTTCTTTAAGAAAATTGTTTAGAGAACTGTCTGCTTAATTTAAAAGACATCAAATGGTCCCTCACAAGCATTGGAACCAATGCTTTTTGAAATGTGTAAGCAATAAAAAAGAGGGAGTCTAAACTTGGGACTACAGCTTATAGATAGAGGGATTTCTGTGATATAGTTTTTGAAATTGTTGCAATTATAATATTATAGACTCATTATTTTTAGAAGGTTTCTTCCTATTACACAAGTGAATTATCAAATGTAACATTTGATTGTGTATGAACATTTTCATTAATGAAATAGATGGTAGGAAATCTGGTTCTCAAAGAAAGGGACATATGAAAAAAAAATAATGGATTTTAATGAAGGATAAATATTAATATAATTGCTACATGGTGGTCTTAATAAATTGCTTCTGCAATCACATTATGTTGCTTGTTTCTTTGATTCTATAGGCCCTGTGGCTGAAGATATGTTCCACTGGCAAGCAACTATTATGGGACCTAGCGATAGCCCTTTTGCTGGAGGTGTATTTCTGGTGAATATACACTTTCCACCAGATTATCCTTTCAAGCCACCCAAGGTAAATTGTTCATATTTTAGACTATTGTTATTGACTTGGCGCACATCTATTAATGATTTGTGCTTTAAAATATATATCTGCTCTATCCTTTCTTGTGATCAGTTGCAATTTACTTAAATTTCTTCTTTGAAATTTTTGTTTGCTACCAGAGCTGCTTATAAATTTTATTTCAGAATCATGTTTGTTTCTTTTTTTTCCGATAAATTTTAAAGGTTTAATAGCTTACTCAATCAGATGATTGAAGAATTCTTTCAAGTTAAAATGAAACTATGGCATTTAGAATCGATCATTATCCGTGTCAGCAAAGTTATATGTTTTCCTGTGTTTTTGTATATGAACAAATTTAATAAGACCATTTGTTTGACAACACTAATAAATATGACCTTTTTTGACAAATAAAAGAATACAATCAAAATCTATCTATAGAGTTTAGTGTCAGTTTCTGACACGTAATTAGACTTTATTGTTAACTGAGAAACTTATGGCAATCTTTAAAAGCTTAAGTCCACTGGGAGCACCAATAAGCTGGCCTTTTAACAATATACGTAAGATATTCCCATGTATACATCTAGAGTCACAAACTTGTAAAAGGAAGCTCCTATCTTGCACATCATGTCATATATGGCTAATACCTTTTCGTTTGTACATGAGAACAGGGTCTGCAGTACCGAACTATACCGCCCGGTATGGGTGGTACGTACCGGTCCGACAGGTTGTCGATACGCGGACCGCCTGTTACCGGTCCGAGTGCACTGTAACATTGTAGCAATGCTACAGTACTCGGTACACCTGGGTGTACCGCTCGGTATACCGTACCATACCAGTACCAAGCCCAGATCGAAATACCGGTACGGTACGGTATTGCGAATCTTGCATGAGAATATGTTGCAATTGGAGCTCATGACTAGGGTTAGCTGTAATGAGTGAACAAAATAGCAATCTTTGTTTTGAGATAACTAGCATCGTTTACATCTTTAGAGTCGGCTAAATCACCAAGTGAGCATAAACCAACATCTGTGTAGGTCTTAAGCTTATCTCATTATTAATTTGATATCTTCACATACTTAATTGAAGGATACTTATAGTTTTTTTATGGATAAATGTAATGTGTTTTTCATGTCAGCTTTTCGAGTCCTACTTCCTAGCTACTCAACTGTGGCCTAACAAAAACTTGGATCTAGGTGTATTAAATGTGAGCCCAAAATCGTGGGCATCATAGAGTCATGGCCACACAGCTTATTAACTCTATCTAGCACATTATTATGCATATCAAATTAATTGCACTGCTTTCCATTTTGTTGCCACGCCCATTGCTCGCATGGCGTAGAATAATTTATGCAACATTATGTCCTCTTCAGGTGTCCTTCTGCACCAAGGTTTTCCATCCAAATATTAATAGCAATGGGAGTATATGCCTTGACATTCTAAAGGATCAGTGGAGCCCTGCCCTGACTATATCAAAGGTACTTTAGATCTGTTTCTAGACCCTTGATTCTTTCTCATCGTGTGGAACAGCCTCAATTAACTAGGTGTATCTATTAGTTCACTATTGGCTTAAATCTATTTTGATACTAAGAAGGGTTTGAGAAACTGCAGCTCATGATCCAAATTGTTCTTGTTCTCCATGTATGATTTACCATTTAACAACTATAAACTCCTAGCTAGTTTGAGAGCTAACTTTGGATGACTGGACCAGTTGTTATAGGCTTGTGGAATCTGGATGGCTGGACATTGTTGGAGCTACTCTAGGATCTGTGGCAACAGAGATGTCCCAATGTTGCTTAGACATAGTTGTCTTGGTCAATGAGTCTTTCCTTGCGGCTTTTAGATCTTAACATATGCTGTATTTGTCTACTTCTAGGTGTTGCTGTCCATTTGTTCCCTTCTGACAGATCCAAATCCAGATGATCCATTAGTGCCTGAAATTGCTCACATGTACAAGACTGACAGAGCAAAGTATGAGATGACTGCCCAGGCCTGGACGCAGAAGCATGCCATGGGATGAGTGCAATTTGGTGCCTGGTATGTCAGCAAACTATGTGATGTCTGCGAAGAATGTATTCTCTTGGTGTGTCTCAACATAGTAGATTTCTATCTCCACCTTTACTGCATTAAGTTTGCAGTACTGTTGTTAAATTTGGTCCCAGTGTTGAAGCATTCCTTGATACTTACAAATTGCAGAATGCTTTTAGTTGATATAACTTCAAAAGTGGTTTTCTTTTCCTAAAATTAAAAAAAATTCTTCAGTGAAGTATTTTTCTTGGACTTGGGTTGAGTCAGGTTGATCCATTCTTGTTGCAGTCTCTAGCAACTATTTATTATTCTGCCTGAATAATTTGATGATTCATTTAATTGAAGAGATGGTTTATCTGAGAGAGAATCTCCCCTGACCGTAGATTATATGTTAGAACAAGTTAACAAACTCTTGATAGAACAAGAGTTTAACAAACTCTTGAACCTGAAATTTTAACCTCCCTATGATCCAAAAACTGTTAGAAATAAGCAATGTTCTGCAGCTGTAAAAACTCCATATATTCTTGAGGACAGATGAAATCTTCCCAAGCTTATGAGCAGGCTTGACACCAGTTTTGAGTTAAAAGAAAAATATCATTGAGCATGATACATTATGTTTGATACAATTCTGAAAACAAATCAAAGGCACCTTGTTTCAGTTGGCTTCATGATTTTTCCCTCTATAGCATTTATCAATATCAATCTGAATCTAGTTTCCTGTAGTTTCTAGCTTAGCTCAAAGTTAAATCTTAGCCAACAAGGGGACCAAGTTTTGGGTTTTTTCTTCTTCCCTAGATCCATGAATCGTGTACTCTCTTCAGAAATCAGACTAACAACTGAAGCACCAGAAGACACAAGACCTTATTCTGAAACTGTTCATCCATGATTCGAAAATGTTTCCATACAAGAAAAGGCCACTCTTTTTGTTTGCTTGATGTACAAAAGTTGAGATACTAGATCTAGCCTCATAATGAATGGATGTCACTGTCTTCACTGGAAACTCTCTCCTTTCTGACGGTTGTTCTTATTGACACCATGGCATCTCAATGAACTCAAAGAATGAAAGAATAACATATGGTTTTCCTGACAGTTGGAATGCTTAAGAGACCTGAAGTACTGTACTTGAGTATACATTGTGCTGCTTTACTTGAATAAGTTGGGTTCTCAAGCTGCATTCCTTCACCTGAAAACAACAGTATTAAAAAGATTAAACTTCTTTTTGCCAGATTCCACAACTACTAAGAGTTGCCTCATAAAATGGATGTAAGCACCATCTTTGGTGAAACTAGGCTAACCTGCAACCTATGTGCCTCCGATAAAAGATTTCCACATTCCTCAACTAGAGTTTTCTGAGTACTGATTACACTTGCGAGATCTGAAGCTACATTATCAATATCTGCTGTCTGTTGTAAGAGTAATCCATTATAAGAGTCTAGCAATGTAAAGATAAACATGGTAGAACATCAAAGACAAAGAAGGACTACAAGCTGCAACTTAGCAAAGTTAAATCTTTACTACAGTCTAAAAGAAAATTAGGTGAGTTGGTGACATGATTTATCAAATCTTGGTAAATAGTCTTTCATAAGTAAATAGTCTTTCACATAAGACATACTTATGCAGTTCAAAAGAACTTAGCTAACCTTTAAAAAAAGAGTCCCCAGCACTTGATAGAACTTTATACTTTTCTTTCACAGTTACAAGTTTGGCATTCACAAGTAATCACCTAGGTGGAAGGCTCATGTACCAAAGACACAAGGGGAGAGAGGAGAGAAGAGAGAGAGAGAGACAGAGACTGTTCATCAGAAGTTAGTCATTGGTTTAGGTGTCTAATTCTTGATAAAATTTCTTGATATATTGGTAACATAATTTACAAATACTTGAAAGTTCATTTGAAGTAATCATTCAGTAAACTAAATGCCTAATTCATCACATAAGACATGCTCATGCAGTTCAAAAAATTTTAGTCAGCTTTCGGAAAAGAGTCAACCCTCTCAGTACTTAAACAGAACTTTATATTTCTCTTGCACATCACAAGTTTGGCATTTAGGAGCATCGACTTGGTTACAGAATCATGTATCAAACAACCTTATAAAAAAAAAATTAATGAAAAACAGAAATATTGCGTATGTGAGTGATATGATAAACATTGGTTTATGGAAGAACAAGCCTGCAGAACTAAGGAGAACATATGGCAGGTAGATTAGTAACGAAGATTCTCAAATTCTTTTTAGAAGAAGTTTGAAATCATGCATGCAGTTATATATCCAACAAATTTTACCTTTGGTAGAAAATTTTCCACACATGGAGAAAGTGATTCCAGCATTAGTAATGCATAGTCTAGAACTTCTTTGAGTTCTCTATTATCAACCTGAAAAAAAGATCATATATAATTTAAAATCAACCAAAAAGAGAAAAAAAAAGGGAGTAAAATGTTATGATTCATAGAGAAATTAACCCAAAGATGTTGTACCTTCACATTCCCATTAATTGGGAGTCTAAGTGAAGCATCCTGAAGAGCCTTTGTTGCTCCTGAAAGAGAACTTGAATATTCGTCTTCAAGAACTGTCCACTCATCCAAATGCAGCATCTAGGAGCAGAGGACCATGATTCTATTAGTATATGATCACGAACAAGATGTTATATGTTTTTGCATTTATCATGGAAATGGATTTATAAATCATACAAGTCAGCCTTGCAAGCATCCCTCAAAGGATAAAAAAGAAAAGAAGAGAAAAAAGGTCCTCCTAGTAATGCTCCTACATGAGGATTGAGGCCACACATAAAAAGAGTCGATCATTGTCATCATGCTGCAAGCACACTTGGTTCATCACCTGTTGTTGGATTTGCCAAAATTACTTCACTAGATGCTTAAATTTTGCAATTTTCTTATCCTGCTAGTTTAGTTTACTCCGGAATACTGCTGTTTCTGATGAAATCAGAGTAGTGAACCTGGGAAATCTGATGCATGAGTAGCAACAATATCATTATTGTCACACGATGATTGACCTATTAACCTGTCTAAATCACTAGTTCAAAAATATTTAAACCCAAATTAATGATCGATAGGCTAAATCACTAGTTCTATCACTTTTGATGTGCGATTAAATAGGGTAATGTGTCTTTTAACTTCATCCTTACCTACTCGAGTCTTTTGAGTAGGTAGTCATCCTTACCTACTTGAGTCATTCGCTGTATGCCCGTCGGCTTTGATAGTATCAACCTATTAACATGTCTAAATCACTAGTTCAAAAATGTTTAAACCTAAATTAATGACCGTAGACCTATCTTCGATCACTTTTAACTTCATCCATGTGTAGTCGTCATCCTTACCTACTTGAGTCATTCGCTGTATGCCCGTCGGCTTTGATAGTATCAACCTATTAACATGTCTAAATCACTAGTTCAAAAATGTTTAAACCTAAATTAATGACCGTAGACCTATCTTCTATCACTTTTGATGCACGATTAAACCAAGGTAAAATGCCTTTTAACTTCATCCATGGGTAGTCGTCATCCTTACCTACTTGAGTTATTTGTTGTATGCCTGTTGGCTTTGATAGTATCCACCTAGTCTGATGGGATAACTAACCTATTAGTTTGTTGAGCCTATACTACTGATCCAAAAATCGTCTAAAACAACGACGGTTAACATATCTTTTTACCATTTTTGATATCGGACTAAATGGGGTGTTAAATTGTAGCTGGATTGAAACCCTAACCCTGGTTCAAAAACTTTGCCTATTGCAAGCATTGAAACCTTCTGAATCAACAAACACCCTTTGCGTGGATCAGAGCAGAGTGATCCAATGCAGATGAGGAGAGAATTGAAATCCACACATATAAGAAGAACAGGCCTTACCTGACAGCGGATGATGGACGATAGACTTTCTCTTCTCTTGAGTTGTTCGAGTTGGATCTTCTTCTCAGTAACGGAGCTTTGGAGCTCTGCGATCGTCGCCGAAAGCCCGTGCAGTGATCTCTGAAAACAATACAATCTGTTCAGTATTTGTGTGATGATCGATGAGAAATCAGCTCAAATTGTTGATGGAGCCTCAACGTTCACCAACCTCGGCAGCAATTCTCCGAGCTTCCATTGCTGCTCGTGCTTTGGCGTTAATGAACCTCCACTGCACGTAATGGTTGTCGAGTAGCTTAAGCACATGGACTTCCTCCTTCCGGCTCGACTCCTTCTTCCCCTTCTTCACCTCCGTGCTGGATTTAGCAGTCGGAGGTTGCGGCGGCTTTGACGAGAAAAGGGGCCTATTGACGGACTTGCTCAAATTGAGCGGATGCCGCTGCTGACGGCAGGACATGGCCGGGGTTAGGGATCGGAGGCAGAACGAGCTGGTCGACGCCCTACAAGCAGAGTCTTCAGCGCCGGTTTGTCGGCTGGAACACGCTTCCGTGGCGCGTCTGGCCGACAGGAGGTCGGCCTCCGGCATGGAGGACCGGACCTCGGCCACCGGCCTCGATCTGCAAGACGCAGGGGGGAGGAGGGGCGGGCTGTCGCAGAGGCCGCCCTGGCTGCTAACGCTGCAAGTCTCTGAATCCGAGAAAGAATTCTCCGACAAGGTCTCCTCGAGCCGATTATCGCCGCTTCCATGACCGTAGCTGTTGCCCTCGAACGGAAACGGGCTCACCCGGGCCGGCGTGGGAGTGCGGGGGTTCCTTCTCCCGACGCTGGTGCCATCCGCGACAAGGTGGGGCGGCATCGGGGTTCCCGGCCTCGGCCTCCGCTTCGTATCACCCGGCCGCGGTGGCTGCTCCGCTGCACCGGTAGCGGCATTGTTGTCCGCGAACAACCGGACGACGGCCTTCTTCTTGAGGGTGCTGGGAGGCTTGGTGGAGACGGGGAGGGGCGTCTCCACGCTGCGCCGGGTGGATGTCAGGGGCTGGTTCTCGTCGGCCTCCGGGGGTTCGTGATGCTTGTGCGGCTTCTTGGGGAGGAGCGGGAGGAGGGAGACGGCGGGGCAAACATTCCTCGGAGACGCAGCGAAGTGTTGGGTTTCGGAAGACGAACAGGAGGAGGAAGGGGAGGGGGACAGGTAGCGAGAGGTGACCTCCCTAGCACGGGGCCGGCGGGGCCTCCTGTCGGTGGCCGGAGGGGTGGGGATCGGGGGCTGTGCAGCCGACGCCAGTGGAGGAGGAAGAGGAGGAAGTGAAGAGGATTCCACCATCATTTTGGCTTAGGGAAAGAAAGAACAAGAAGACGAACAACAACCAAGAAGAAGAAGAGGCGATTTAAGTAGCCGTTGGAAGAGACGGCGACGTCGATGATACCGCAACGGCTAGTTTCCCGTGCACGGGGGTTAAAAAAAAAGGCTCCGGGATATATATATATATATATATATATATGTTTATATATATATATATAT